CCTACTCCTACTCCGACTCCTACTACTACTACTACTACTACTACTACTACTACTACTACTGCTACTACTACTACTACTACTGCTGCTGCTGCTGCTGCTGCTGCTGCTGCTGCTGCTGCTGCTACTGCTATTACGACTACTACTACTTACTCCCCATTTCCCTCGCCTCCCCTCCTCTCCTCCTCTTTCTCGCTCTTCCTCCTCCTCCTCCTCCTCGCTCTTCCTCCTCATCCTCCTCCGTCACAGCGCCCCAGCCGTCCAACGAAACGTCCAGGCTGCACGCGAATGGTGGGCCGTCTTTCTCAGAAGTGACGAGCCTGCCCCACGAGCATGACGGGTGGTGAGTGGATGTGGCCCGCTCGGCAGCATGGTGTTATCTCGCTGGCAGCGCGACTTGCATCGCCCCCTCTTCTTGCACATGGCTGCGTCCGTACGCGCCCTCTCAGCGAGACTGATGCCAAGAGCGATCGGCCTTGCGCTTGGCACCGCTTGCGCCACCCTGGCTGCCGCGCGAGTGCCGGCCCCAAGAGGAGCCACAATGGCCCCCGCCGTTTGCTGGCTCGCGCTCCCGCGCCTCCCTGGCCGCGTCAGGCCTCCTCCTCCAACTCCTCCTCCTCCTCCTCCAACTCCTCGTCCTCCTCCAACTCCTCCTCCTCCTCCTCCTCCTCCTCCTCCCTCCTCCCTCCTCCTTCCTCCCTCCTCCTCCTCCAACTCCTCCTCCTCCTCCTCCTCCTCCTCCTCCTCCTCCTCCTCCTCCTCCTCCTCCTCCTCCTCCTCCTCCTCCTCCTTCCCAGTCTCCTCCTCCTCCCCCTCCTCCTCCCCGATCCTCCTCGAACCCCTTCCTGGAGGCCGCGGTGGCGGCCGCGGGGCCGCGGCGGAGGCCTCGTCCGCCGCGGCGCCGACCACCGCCTCGGCCACGCGCAGGGCGAGGCGCAGGGTCGCGGCCGCGGGCAGGCCCTGCGGCCGCTCGGGGGCCGGCGGCGGCGGAGGCAGCGAGGGGGCCCGCGGGGTCGCTGCGGGTGGGCGGCTGCGGACAGGACGGAGGGGGAGAGGGGGGGAGGAGGGGGAGGAGGAGTAGGAGGAGTGCAGACGGAGGGGGAGGGGGAGGGGGAGGGGAGGGGGAGGGGGAGGAGGAGGAGGAGGAGGAGGAGGAGGAGGAGGAGGAGGAGGAGGCGGAGGCGGAGGCGGAGGCGGAGGAGGTGGGAGGAGGGAGGAGGATTGTTTTTTTTGTTGCAACGATAACGCCACGATTCGGGAGCACTGCAGATCACAACAGCCTGGCTGCGCCACCACGTGCGTGCCACGGGGAAGTGCCTAACAAGCGAGGAAAACACACAAGCGGAAGAGCAGGAAGGAAGAGGAAGGGGACAGATGGAGGGGGAGGGCGCCACAAACGCGACAAGGACGCCGCAGCAAGGTGTCCGCTGCAAAGTGTCCACCGCAAGGCTAGAGCTGGGCCCGGCAGGCGCGGAAACTCTTGTCCTGGCCGCGTGGCAGATATTCGGGAAGGCCGAGGAAACGGATGTTATATTGAACCAAATGATTGCATCGGTTGTGGCCCACATAAGCGCGAACACAATACAGTGCCTAGGGAACTCTTGTCCCAGCCGCGTGGCCGATATTCGGGAAGTCCGAAGGGAGCAGCACTTTGTGATTGACACTAACCTGCACTAGACAATAACAACGGTTGTGGCACCCATAACCGCGAGCACAAAATCAATCCAAGCCCAAACGGCCAATGATAATGCGCGTGAGAACCCCACGGAGGCATGAGCAGGGAAGAGAAGAGGAAGCGGAGGGGGAGGAGAGAAAGTAACTAGACTAAGTGGTCGCAGCCCAAGGAACGGTCAGCACAATGACATGACAACGAAACTGTATGAAACGACTACCGTCGTTTATGGCCCACATAACCGCGTGCAATCATTGTCAAAGTTGTGTCGGTTTGTAAGCAGCGAAGCGCCCAAGCGCCGAGCCAGCGTGCAAGCCCAGAGCAGGAACTAGCGCATGCGGGCTGGCACGAGGAAGCATATCGAAACATCAGACTCACACTTGGGGAGAGCGAGACGAGAGTGGGGGAGCCAGGAAGGAAGAGAAGCATCTCGGAACTGCTTCGCCAGGTTCAGCATTAGAGGGAAGGTGCTCACGTCTCGAACCCGTGGTGGATCAGCGCACGTTGGAAGCGGCGACAACCACTCCCGAACCCGAGGTACGACTTCTGAAACCCTTCCTGAGGTTTGCGCCTGGAGCCAAACGAGTCTACCATCTTGCACTGCAGACCGATGGAGTTCGGCCCCTCACCTTGAGTTAACCCCGGCATGGCGAGCTGGAATAGCAGAGGAACGTGACTACCAAGATTGCCGTCGCCGTCCATTCCTATGGTCATGAATGCCTCGTGAGGCAACTTCTCCACTCCGTCGGATACAAAGGCCTCCTTCCGAGCTAGCCCCAGAAAGAAAAGCTAGAATCGCCGACATGGAAGAGGAAGAGTAGACAGATCCTGCCTCGGCCACTCTCGAGGCCCTGTACAACCTCCTGGCGCACTGGCATCCAGGGGGGGCACGATTTGTTCCCAACCTAGGCTCTGCCTAGAAGGGTTCTTACTCTCTTGGCGTAAACGGCCGGGCAGTGGGAACCGGCCCGGGCGGTTCCCCCAGTATCCGCCCCGCGGTTCCCCCAGTTACGTCCCCTTAGCTTAGCGTTGCGTATCTCATCTTAGCTTAGCTTATTTCATCTTAGCTTAGCTTAGCTTCATCTTAGCTCAGGATTATCTTAGCTTAGCTTACCTTCATCTTAGCTTCGCTGAGCTTTAGCATAGCATAGCACAGCATAGCATAGCGTAGCATAGCGCAGCATAGCATATCATAGCATAGCCCAGCATAGCATAGCATAGCATTAGCATGGGTGTAATTCCCTATCTAGGCTCTGCCTAGAGGGTTAGCTTAGCTTAGCTCAGCTCAGCTTAGCATAGCGCAGCATTAACATAGCATAGCATATCATAGCATAGCCAAACATAGCTAGCATAGTATAGCATATCATAGCATAGCACAGCATAGCATGTCATAGCCTAGCGCAACTTAGCATAGCATAGCATATCATAGCTTAGCATAGCATAACACAGCTTAGCATAGCATAGCAGAGATTAGCATAGCATAGCATATCATAGCGCAGCATAGCATAGCATAGCATAGCATAGCATAGCATAGCATGTCATAGCATAGCATGGCGCAGCATAGCATGGCACAGCATAGCATAGCATAGCATAGCAACTATTGCTGCTTTCCTAGGGGCTCCAACTTCTAGGTAGGGTCGCACTGGGGTAATTATGTTAACACGGACTTGTGGCAAATTGTGGCCGCATTCGTGATCAAGACCGTGACCGCAGTCATAGTCAAGCCCAATCGGTTGCCCTAATGAGCGCGATTATGGCCGAACTGACGGCCGATGCTGTAGCCGAACTCGTGGTCGTGACCGTGATCGGTGGAATCGTCGCAAGCGTCGGTGACAGCCAGGAGGGGGGCTGGAGTTGAAGTCTGTGTTGGGCCCGTGCCGCTGGTACCACTGCCATGCTTCGAACTCGTGGCGGTCGTCGTATCCCAGGGGCGTCTGGTGGTCGTGGTCGTGCCGCTCAGCGAGGTCGTGCCGAAGGACATGATTCCAAGGCCTTGTCGAGAATTTCGGCGACGTTCTCAAACCTTGCGACAACGGCATGGTGCTCGAGACGTTCGCGCCGGCGGAAACCGGGACACCCGTGCAACATGGAGACCGTGACACCCAGCGTGGAACCGTGCCACATGACGCAGCAGGAATGGGAACCTAGACGACCGCATAGTACGGTGTCGGCGTCGGTGCAGTCGACGGTGCAGACGTAGGCGTTGGCGTAGTTGCCGGGGTCGGCGCCGCCGTTGGTGTCAGCGTCGGTGCTGGCGACGGTGCTGGCTGAGGCTCTGGCGTCGGTGCAGGCGTAAGCGCCAGCGTCGGTGCTGTTGTCGGCGCCGACGTTGATGTCGGCGTCGGTAATGGCGACGGTGCTGGCTAAGGCGCCCGAGTCGGTGTTGGGACGGTGCCGACGTCGGTGTCGGCGTCGGTGCTGGCGACGGTGCTGGCGCAGGCGCAGGCGCCAACGTCGGCGTCGGCGTCAGTGCTGGGGTCGGCGCCGATGTTGGCGTCGGCGTCGGTGCTGGCGACGGTGCTGGCTGAGGAGCTCTGGGGTCGGCGCCGACGACGGTGTCGGCGTCGGTGCTGGCGACTGTGTTGGCGCGCTGGCGACGGTGTCGGCGTCGGCGCAGGCGATGGTGCTGGCGTAGGCGTCGGCGTCAGTGTCAGGGTTGGCGCCGACGTTGGTGTCGGCGTCGGTGCCGGCGACGGTGCGGGCTAAGGCGTCGGCGTCGGTGCTGGGGACGGTGCCGACGTCGGTGGCGGCGTCGGTGCTGGCCACGGCGTTGGCGTAGGCGCCAGCGTCGGTGCTGGGGTCGGCGCCGATACCGGTGACGGCGTCGGTGGAAGCGACTGGTGTGGCGTAAGCACTGGCGTCGGTGCTGGCGTCGGCGCCGACGTCGGTGGCGGCGTCTGTGTTGTCGACGGTGCTTGCGTAGGTGCCGGCGTCGGTGTTGGGGCCCGCCCCAAGAACGCCCAAGAACGCTCCAAGAGAGCCCCAAGAAGCGGCTTGCGGGCTCCAGCAGCAGCAGCAGCAGCAGCAGCAGCAGCAGCAGCAGCAGCCGCAAGAATACCTCTAGATGGCTCCATGAGTCCTCGCCCGCGTCGTCCTCATCCTAGTCATCGTACTCCTCGTCCTCGTCCTCATCCGCGTCCTCGTCCTCTTCGTCCTCCTCGTCGTCCTCGTCCTCTCGTCCTCTTCGTCCTCCTCGTCGTCCTCGTCCTCTCGTCCTCCTCGTCGTCCTCGTCGTCGTCGTCGTCGTCGTCGTCGTCGTCCTCGTCCTCGTCCTCGTCCTCCTCCTCCTCCTCCTCCTCCTCCTCCTCCTCCTCTTCCCCGAAGAGGCCTTCCACGGCGACCCCCTTGCTCCCAAAGATCTCTCGGCTCATCCTGGTCACTCGCTTTGTCTCCCCGAATGTGTCTTTTCGTCCCTTCCCCCCTCAGCTCTCATGGGCAGGGTTTCTGAATAGGCTGGTGGGGATACTGTTTTGATCGCGAGCGTAGCGGAAATGCCGAACGCCGCCCGAAATTCGTAACAAACAAACTACGGCCTAAATTGCACAAGCGCGAAGGAAAAAGAGAGAGACAACAAGAGAACAACGGAAGGAGAGACAAACAGGAGGCGGGCCTCGCTGCCGCTCAGAAGAAATGCGCCTCTGCCTGGGGGGGGCCGCCAGCCGGTTTGCATCGCCAAAATGGCGGGGTGGGGGGGAGTTCAGGTTGAGCAATTCCGTGAGCATGCCAGTAACCTGTGTAGGATAGCGCTGGCTGCAGCAAGAAAGGCCAGGCGCCTCCTTGAACTGCGGATCACAACGCGGGGGCGCTGCGGGTGGCTGGCCAGGGGGCAAGCACCAGCGCCACAGCGAACACTCGTGCGACTTCGCGTACTCGCCAACCAACACGTAGTGTAGGAGCTCAACGAAACGCAGGCGCCATGGACCAACGGACATACCGTCTCGTGGGTAGCGGGCGCACTCCACGCACCGCCAGTCGTCAACCAACTCACGTGCAGGCGCTCGACGGATCGGAGTCCGGATCGCCAGACACCATCAGAGACTGGTGCCGTGGCCCCGTTCCACGAAGCGGGGAACGCAGGCGGACGCGCACTCACCAGGCCGGGGTCGATCCTGGCAACCGACGGCCCCGAACTGCAACATGGAAACGTCCAGCCGCAAGCGTGTCGGAACCCGCTCGGGAAGCGTCGGGGAAGCTACCCGCACGGTAGGGGGCGAACCGAGAGGCCGGCAGACCCCAGGCTGGCGTGGGAGGTCGCCGCAAGCCGAGCTGGCGGGGATACTTTTTGGAT